CTACTAGGGAGCCATAGTTGAAGTTTTATGTCTGGAGGTAGGCATAGTGCAGGCACTAGATAGAATCTGATTCTCTTGAGCGCGGAGGCTACGTTAGAGACTGGCTGCAGCTGACAAGATGCAGGGAAGCGATTAATTTGTATAACCGTTTGAGACCTAGTACAAGTGAAGAGTATAAAGAGATTAGTAATTCCCTACAAGGATGAAGCCAATACCGATTGAAAATAAAGAAGTTTTTGGATAACTGATTTTAAAGAGAAATTAGAAGTTTTGTTGAAAGCTAGATGAAGGATCAGAAACGCCATTAAGCAATTGATGAAGAAGAGTGAGGAGAGCTAAAAAGAGGAGTTCACAAACTATGCATAATTATAANGATTAGTAATTCCCTACAAGGATGAAGCCAATACCGATTGAAAATAAAGATGTTTTTAGAGAACTGATTTTAAAGAAAATTTATAAGGTTTTGTTGAAAGCTAGATGAAGGTTAAGAAACGCCATTAAGCAAATGATGAAGAAGAGTGAGAACGGCTGAAATAGAGAAGTTCACAAAATATGCAAAATTAAAATGAGAGTAGTGTTTTTCATTCGAGGCCGAATGAAACGCAGGATGGCCGAATGTGGGATTAGTTTACGGATAGTACTTATGATGCTAGGACTAATTGGCCATTAAGAGTTAGTAACATAGAAATGCAGCCCTACATAACGAATAAAGGAATAGAACTGTTCTAATGATTTGACGAAAGTTACATCGCGTTAGAAGACGGACAAGACAAACAAGCATTCGCGTACTTACGATCGAACGCGTCGGACCACTTAGACGGGCTTCAACCCTATTAAGTTGCAATTCATAAGTAAAAATGTAAACGGTTAATGTGAATAAAGTTTATTACTATACTTAAACATTAAAAATGACTATAATTCTGAAGAGCTATCCTACATGTATTTTATATGAGAAAAATAACTTTTCGTAGAAATAGTATAGAATTAATGAAAATCAATATTTTTCGATCGGAATTTTTCTCTTCAGGAGACCCCAGTAATAATACCCAATTCTTTATTTAACCATTTTTTCATAGTAACTATGTTGTATAGGTCCGCCAAAAACCCCTAAAAATGCCATAATTGTTTGTTGAGTAAATTAGATTTGACTGCACATATTGCATTTAATGATTATTAGAGATGCCGTTTTTAAATCGAATAAATCGAGGATCGATTAATCGAGCTCTTCCTATTCGATTTTTTAGCTCCGATTCGATCCGTGAATCGATTCAAAAAATTCAAGAATCGACATTAGATTTTTGCTCAATTTATGCATATTGAACTACGGTTTGCCCCAGAAAATCTAATAAAATTTAAAGAAATTTGAATTTTTGACTGATACAAAAAAAAAATACATGGGAAAGCAAAGACCAATGAATTCAATGACCTTTCCCATCCCACTATAGGGCTCCTCAGAGAAGCCACTTGAAATTAACTCTATACAAAATTATGGCTAATCATACAACAAAAACTCGAAAAAATTTTAGTTCCCAGCTTTATGAAAATTTTCATAAAAAACGTCCACCCCTTAAGGACTCTTTTTATATATTTTTTAAAGGGTAATTAAGTGAAATATAGAGTCAGCGAAAACAAAACAAAAACTAAAAAACGTGCGCATTGCATAAAATATATATACATACATCTAAAAATAAATTCCATTATGCTGGATTTCCCCTAGGCATTAAATGGTAAAAATTACAAATGACAAAGTTGGGCATTAAAAAAATATCGTGTCATTATGTGAAAAAAATAGTCATTAAGTTCATTTCCAACTGGCATTTTTTTAAATGGCTTAAATTTTTTGTCATTTCAATGCCTAGTGGAAATTCGGCATTAAACTTCCTAAAATAGAAGTTAATTTTGAATTAAAACGTAAACTTTTTTCTCATTTCTGTTAAAAAACAAAACAAGGCATTAAATGAAAAAATTTTAACCACTCCGTTGGGCACTAAACACTACCCGTGTCATTGTGTTTGTTTCCACATAGCATTTTTAAAATGGCATAAATTTTTTGTCTTTCCTTTGCCTGGCGGAAATTTGGTTTAAGAAATTATGAAGTTTCTGTTGAATGGTCATTGTCTTAGTATAGAAACACCTTATCTCACACCTTTTTTCAAATATTGAAACCGTTATGAACAATGTATGTATGTATGTTTTAAAAATTACTTACGTACAATAAAAGTTTGGTCACATCGCTGTATTTTGTTTCTTCATAAAAATAAAGTATAATACGTTATTTGACAAATTATATGAATCTTGGGAGACTGATTTACTTTTTGACGATTCCTTCCTCCTTCGATTATCTTTATTTCGATCTAACATCTCTAATGCTTATTCGCTTAATCTGATTGATTATCTTTTTCATTTTGATCTCAGTAAGCAATGAAAATATTCGTTGGCAGTTAGCATAACAATAAAGGAAAGATATTGCAAAACTATATACATACATATATCCATTAAATTTCGATATAAGAAATCTCCAGTTTTTTACAACAAACATATGACACCGTTATGGCGTCGTTTCGCTCAAAGAGTGAACTGCCTTATTGATTCGAAATTTTTCTAGTATCTTCAAAATACACAACTTCCCAAATTCCCCACACGTTTTCCTAATTTCAAGCACTTTACATTTTTCCAAATTACTTTCTGTATAACTCAAAAACTTGCCATTAAAATTAATTTCAAGTAAATTAGATGTTTCTTATTTATCCATTACTGACTAAATTGTATTGCTTGGTATCGTATGCAAAAAATCCCGTTTTTCGATAGAAAATCCCATTCGCCCTTTTTAGTCATAAAATCCTGAAAAAAGGGCGAAATCCTGCAAACTGGCAACACTGATACGTACACGCGATGGTTATGCTCTTTGAGCGTGTGCTCGTTCTCTGCCCATGCCTGATCATGACACCCAATTAAATGATTCAAGTACTTGAAAGCAATTCTTGCTCATTCTCTTTTATGTTTTCTATTTGCTTTTACACGTTTCAATTCTGTTGAATTCAAGTTTTCTGTTCTTTAAATGGGAAGCAACGAAAATGCCAAAAGCAAAGCAAGAAAGTTGAAACAATTTGACGGTACAGACGCATGTGTACTCGTCCCTTTTCTTCTCACCCCCTCTCTTCCACATGCGAGCAGAATTGAATTCAATACTTGAACTGTGTAAAAGCAGTCTAAGCAAGGCAAAATGACATTTTTTCAAACCGAGGGCTGCCGAAGCTGATTTTGTGTATGTGTTTCGCCGCACGGCTTCTGATATCAAATTGAAAAATTTTGTTTGAATTTCTACACACACTCTTACAGATTTTGACAGTTTATACCGCCAAAGCAAAAACAAAATACATGTAAATTTTTGTTTTTGTACTCCTGCTATCACCTTATATTAATTCGCCTTGCGCATTTCATTAGTAATCGTTTTCTGCGTTTGCGTTGACTGAAACTGCTTTCTTTTCCAGAAGCATAAGCAGAAGCAAAACCAAATGAAATAAAACTTATTGCAGTTTTTTAAACACTGGTTTTTGCTCTAATGCTACGACATGTTTGCCATGCTTTGCTAGCCTCTCTGTAAGGAAAATCTCAAATTTTTAAATGACACAAAAACACCGGAACACGTAAAATTAATATCGGATCGTACGTTATATTTCAGTATACCGTTTTTACAGAACAGGTAATTCTCCAAAAGAACTATTTTGTAATTTCTTCTTTTGTATTAAAGTCTGTTCTTTTGCCAAAAATCAAGCTACTAACGAGGAAAATGGATGGATAAGTAACCAAGTTTTGAATGGTAAAATGAAAATGTGCAGCATAATGTGTTGCAGTCGATTGGTAATAATAATAAAAGTTAAGATCTATCTTCACAAGTCAGTGCCGTATCAGCTCAGTATCATTGCCAATCAGCATCGATCAGTGATACCAATTTACACACATCCGTAGTATGTCGTCCGGTACCAACTCGCTTAATTATCCCTCCATATAAAACAAAACTTACAATAAAATACCGTCAGCTCGTCAGTGAAATACACAAACAAATCTTTGCAGAGTTAACTACACTCTTAAAAATGTTTGTTTAAATTTAAGCATACTAAAAAAGGTAACCAGTTTCCTCCCTTAATGTATGCAAATTTGCACAAGATGTTAATCAATTTAAATACTGGTTTTTAACTTTTACTTACCATATGTATTGCATAGTACAAATTTGAAATCTGTTTGCTGAATTCTAAACACTTAATACCAAATTCACAGTGCGTAGTTAACTCAGAATCGGCAGTTAACTACAGAATTTCTGTACAGCACTGTGAATTTGGCCATAGAGCCGTTAATTTAACTATTTTAAAGTACAGTCAAATCATTAGTTAAACTTAAATACAAAAATTTCTATAGAATTTTCTTAGTGTTCACAATTTCACAGTTACACACACACACATAAAATGTTTAAAATTTTCCCTAAAAGTTGTTTGTTTAAATTAACGCATATTAAGAGAGGTTACCAGGTTCCTCTCCTAATGTGTGCAAATTTAGACACCGTGGTTTTCTTTGACATACGAAATTTGTCGCGCAGAGCAAAATTACACATAAAATGTACTTAATTTTTATTTTTAGTAGGGAATGTATTTTTGCGTTAAAAACGTTTGCAATTTGAAACATTTCATGTGTATATTTTAAACATCTCATGTTCAAAAATCTAGTCTTGAACATCTTATGCGTATACTTACACAGATTTTGTTTGAAAATAAACACTTTTCAGTAGCAGTTTTATATGCAGTTTTTCGAGTGTTTAAAAAATTGCGGAACGAACACTGAAGCAGCACTGACGGTAAAATACGGCACTGCCCCAGACGGTCTGAACAACTCTATTTGGGACTGAGGCAACGATATTATAGGTACGGCACTGATATGTGTAGATAGATTTTTATTGTAAAAGTCACCTATGTAATTAATTTGAGGTCGATAAATAAACGCAGATCTAATTCCGATTGCAGGCATCATTTATATTCGCGCCGCCGCTACTATTCTGCGATTACGGGCCATTGCCATTGCTGCTTTCATTTGTCTTGACAAATTTCTTTTCACTTTAGGCATTTTTAAACACTTTTTTTAGTAACGAAACTCCACTTTGCATAAGCCAAAAAACTCAGCCTTTAAAGCACTTGCTAATTTATCAACTTCGCGAAAACAATGTGCCGAATTCCCATGAAGCTCAACAAATAGACATGCATATGTACCATGATGCAATAATACAAGCTGTTATCGGCTGGCAGCTTCTCACTTTAATTCCGCCATATTCACTGCCTTAGGTGAAACAGTGTTACTTCTTTAACAATTCTTTGCCTAATAATATAGTTGAATGTTTTTTTATTTTTTCTCAGTATACACATTTTGTTTCCCTAAAAAGATATTCCCAAACGGGGATTCATTTCTTCCGGTTTTTCTCCTTATTCTACTGAGCTGAGGCAGTATCAAATCGAGCTGTCACAACTGATACCACCTTGTATTATTGCATCATGCATATGTACATCATTGATTTGCTGTTGTTTGTGCATGCCACTTAAGCGTTGAAAAAATGGAATTCGGCTACTTTACCATATCAATTAGAGCTGGGATACTATCGATAGTACCGCCACTCGATAGTTTTCGAAACGATAGTTGAAAACATCGATAGTATCGATAGTACTATCGTCGAGAGAGGTATTGAATTGAAACGCTAAATTGCTTGAAATTTAAATAATTAATAAATTTATAAAATTTATAATTTACTTTGTAAATTAAAGAGATTATATAAATTTGTTTAAATTTGAGTGCATCAAAAATAACTTCTTATAATAATAAAATAAACTTATTAATTTGTGCGTCTGAATTATATATACATATGTTTGTCCCTTTTGAAGTGCAAAGAAGTGAAATTGGATGACAGCGTACGGCAGTGCGCGCGAGTGACGAAAGCAGCCACAGTAGCATGCTGAAATAACTCGCTTATCACAGCGCACGGCAGTGCGCGCGAGTGACCAAAGCAGCCACATACATATATATACGAGATTTGGAAGTTTTTATCCAGACGTCCAATCGACATGTTTGAGGTGTCGTTGGAAAGGTCTTGCAGAGTGTGTCCAGGAAATGTATGCAAGCTTCATTCACGATTAACCGGATTCTTAAAAACTAGGGTAAAGTGTTGGGAAACAAAAAACAATTTTTTGCTTTTGCCGGTTTGGGGGAATATGTGGATGCACCAAACATATTTAGTGTTATTCTATAGGCCAATACCTTTCAAACGATACCTTATATATTGAGTTCCGGCTACTAGTTGGAAAGATATAGAGCTAAATGTGTTTTTGTTCGTGTCCCTACTACGAGATGCTTTGTGCGTCTGTAGGTACCTTCATTTAATTTTTCCAAACTTTCAAGAATTAAAGTACCAAAAAAACTAAGAAGGTTTTGTTCCAGGATGTTTCGATTCGTATGCCTTTGTGGGCGTGGCTGGTGCCTGAAATTCGAAAAAAGGCAATTTTTTAAACTACCACTGAGGTCGCACTACTCATTTCATACCATTGAAGTTGATATCAGTAGAAGGGTTTTAAAACAAGCTATCTAACGCTGTCTTTTTCGTTTATAAAATATAAATATGTTATAACGTTAACGCCTGAAAACTAAAAATCGGGCTGCTGAAAATAGAGATTTCGCGAATTTTCTCAAAAACTGGTCAGTCGATTTTATTCTAGGTTTCCACAAGTCTAGCCCAAAATCTTAGCTTTCATCTGGTATATAGCTTATATCTGGTAAAACTCTTGTTGTGGAGATATTACGATTCAAATTGAAGAAATGTCGCTCCAAAAAGGGTCAAATGGTTAAAAATTAAAAATGTGGCCATTCCCCGATTGCCACTTAAGTCGAAATTCCCTACAAATCGTGGATTTTCCCGCGAGTTGACAAGTTGAAGGATGCAGCTGTGCTAATCACTTCGTACATGCCTTGGAAACCACAATTTGTGTGTATTTTAGCGTTTTTTTTCAGTCACATGCTGAAATTGTAACATTTTTCCCCATTTTAGTTGCAAGTATGTACACAGTATTTAACTATGCTATATACATGGGTTTATCACCCACACTTAACCTACCTGGGAAGACGCATACAATATTACCTACAGTTGTACATAAATATGTATGTATGAATGCATTTAGTTCACCCAATGTGCCGCTACTACTTACATACATAACTACATATGTATAAATTGCTACTGAGCAAAACTACTTTAGAAAAAATCATTAGTTTAATAGCACGAGTGCAACACCGTACACGTGATAGAAGTAAAACTTCTTTAAAAAGCACAGGTGTGCGCCCCACACCCGGTAGAAATCTAACAACAATTAAACTACGACGCAATCAGACGAATACAGTTGCTTATTGTATCCAAAGTTGGTACCAAGTTGGTACGTTTTTATCATGTCTCATAATTGTTTTTTTTTTNTCGATTTGAATACATAATTTAGATTTAACATTTTTAGCAATTTATTTGAGAAAAATAAAACATTTAGATTATTGTTTGTATTTTCGTCGATTCCAAATTTGCTACCCCAAAATAATTGATATCAAATAAAACACCTCTTTGAGGTAAAATTTTCGAGTGACGAAAGCTGAAATAGAAACTCAAAATTTGTATTATCAATTTCATGATGAGAATTGTCGCATTTTTTTTGCTGCCTTGGAAACGTACGGAAAATCTTTTTTTATTTATTCGGAACGTTGCGAGATTCCGTCTACTGCTAGAAACTAAAAATAAATAAAATTAATTTTCAATATTTTTCAATGGGGTATCCGTAAAAAAAAAACTGCAACAAACTTTACAGTGGACTTTATTTTGACTATGACTACGGGCCAATCACTTTAATCATATTTTTAGCTAATTTGAAAAAGTTAAATTAAATCAAGTTAGTAAACTTCCTATTCTTCTTAATCGCTATATCTATAAATTATTTTATACTTTTTAGTTCTTGATGTAATAAAAGCGTGTTTTTAGTTTTTTAACTATAATTTTATTTTCTACTTTTAAGTCTTTTGAAATCTTGCAATTAATATTATACTGTCTGTATATTTCTCATTCTGTCCATTTCTGTCAATGCACCGTTATTGCATGGCTTCTTTCCAGTCAGTTTCGAATTATCCGATTCCTCTATCTTCAGTCCTTCTAGCGATCTTACTCTGCTAAGAGCGACTTAGGCTTGACCGTTGCGAACAGCTTTGATCCTAGGTATACAACAGCGTAGTCTACAGTACTACCTTGCATCTTATGCACTGTTGATGCCCACGATAGAATTCCTGGCAGCATTCTTCTTTCAGCGGTTCCGTAACTTAACTTTTCCGGGAACTGTATTGACCTTGGCTGTACATGTAGTATGCCTTCATTTCAAAAGTTTACACGTATTGATGGTATATCATCTGCATACATTTTATCTCGTCTAAAATTTGGCCTGATTTGAATAGGTAATACACATATTCTGAATATAAACCAAATCGGAGCACATATGCCGATTTTTCAATTATATAGACTCACGTGCCACATAACGTAAGCAATATGCATTCTAAATGTGAACTTAATCGGATCATAAATACGGTTTTTCCAAATATCTCGACTCCTGAGCCACCTATCGACAAAATTTTTTGTGGATATATTTCTTTTCGTAATATATGTTCTAAATATGAACCACATCAGACTATCACCCCTATGCCGTAATCCGTCGTAGATTCGATTTTGCTACGATTTCGTAATTTCGAAATTCGTAATGTTGGTATGCCTGAATCCGACGTAGCTGTCATTTTTATGTATTTGTCGGAAATTTTGTACGAATAGCAACTCGTGTCGGTGCGAAACAAATTTTTTTAAAATACAGTATATTTTGCTTAGCTGCACATCCTTCTTTGCACGAAAACTTGTGCACGTAACCGAAAAAGGCACTTAAGCGAATTTTCTTTACTACTTCAATGAGGAAGGTATCCGAAATCCCTATGAAACCAAATATTGGCGGAGCACTTACCATGTAGAAATTAGTGCAAGTGAAATTTTTACCGAATGTTATCTAATTATCTATATAACTAAATAAATTGATAGCCATTTTCGTTGTTCTGCGCGATGAGCAAAATAAATAAAACGTAAAATTAGGAAATTGTAGGGCCAGTGCAGGTAAACGTAACACTTTCATTGATAATTGATACTAGTCGCACTATTTTTAAGGCAGGCATCGCCAATGTGCAGGTATGTTGAATGCATCTATCGGAGCAGTTTCCTTATAAATGTTAAAAATAATGCTTTTGATGCGCATTTTGGGGTAGGTATCTTAAATGTGCACTTAAGCATAGAGGCAGCAAAGCAAAATATACTGTATCAATAAAATAAAGTGTGTAAACGCAAAAATATGTATGTGAGTTGAAGTGTGAATAGAAACAAAAAATTATTATTAAATGTTTACAAAATTAACGGATCGAAGATCACAACAAATCGCTCGCAATACGAAAAACTGGTGGAATGCATGAGGGAAAGGCCGGAAATTGGTCGAGACTTTGTAAAAGGAGCTAAAGAGGATGTGGTGGAATCTTGGGAAAGCGTTCGAATTAAAGTGGCACAATATCTAGTGAAATGGAGACCCTTAAAAGGAGGGAGCTTACATTTTATCATTTAAGCTAAATGGATCAGAACAATCTCTTAGCAATCTCCTTTGTATATTAATGCAACTGTAAGCTGTTCTTCCTCCAGGGACAAAAGTGCACCGGCCACTGAATCCTTCGTATTCTACTTAATTAAGGAAAAGTATTTTCAAATAATGATTAAACTATTTTTTTTTTTAATTTCACTACTAACTTGCGATTATATATATTTATTTTGATTTGTTTCTGTCAAAGCAGCTGAGTAAGAACTTCGAATTTCACTATTTTAGTTGGCAACGCCGTTGATGGGTACGATCGGATTACAGCATACCAATTTTCGAATTTTCGGAACGGAGCTACGAATTCGTAACTACGAACTTTCGAATTACAGCATATGCGGTTTTACAAATATCTCGACTACTGCGCCACCTAGCGCACTAAGTTTGAAGTTTCAAGTCTGTAGCTCATCGGGAAGTTTGTTAAATATTGATTGCAATGTTCCAGGACATATGCACATATGTACATACATACAAGTGATGTTAAATAAAAGCTTGTAAAAACAGAACTTTTGCAACGATTCGTATAAATAAAAGAGATTTTCCGTACGTTTCCAAGGCAGTTAAAAAATGCGTATAATTCTCGTCACGAAATTGATATCATAAATTTTGTGTTTCTAGTTCAGCTTTCGTCACTCGAAAATTTTACCTCAAAGGTATTTTATTTGATATAATAATACATTTCTAATACTACAAAACAAACAAAACAAAAGATATTCGTTTAAATCGACAACTCATACTCAAAGTTCAACTGAGATCAAATACGGAGGCGCATATCAAAATCCGGACAAAGGAACTTATTAACATTTTACCATATTATAAAAAAACGAATAAAGTA